GGAAGGGGGTTGAGGAGAGTGAGAGGGTTTGGAGAAGTGGAGAGGGTTGTGGAAGGGGGTTGGGGAGAAGTGGAGAGGGTTTTTGTGAGGGGGGTTGGGGAAAGTGAGAGGGTTTTGTGGGAGGGGGTGGGAAGAAAGTGAGAGGGTTGTGGAAGGGGGTTGGGGGAGAGTCGAGAGGGTTGTGGAGGGGGTTGGGTAGAGGTGAGAGGGTTGGTGGAGGGGGGTTGGGGAGAGTGAGAAGGGGTGTGGGAGGGGGTTGGGGAGAATGAGAGGGTTAATGGAGGGGGTTGGGGAGAGTGAGAGGGTGTATGTCAGAGAGACGAGTATAGAGCGGCCGTTCGTGTGACGCAACGTAGCACTTAGAGAGGTGGTGTGAGATGGGGGGGATTGGGAGAGTGAGAGAGGGTTTGTGGGAAGGGGGTGGGGAAGAGTGAGAGGGTTGTGGAAGGGGGGTTGAGGAGAGTGAGAGCCGTTTGTGGAGGGGGTTGGGGAGAGTGAGAGGGTTGTTGGGGGGTTTGAGGAGGGGGTTGGGGAGAAGTAAGAGGGTTGTTGGCAAGGGGTTGGGGAGAGTGAGAGGGTTGTGGGAGGGGTTGGGTAGAGTGAGAAGGGTTGTGGAGGGGGTTGGGGAGAGTGAGAGGGTTATGGGGAGGGGGGTTGGGGAGAGTGAGAAGGGTTGTGGAGGGGTGTTGGGGAGAGTTGAGAGGGGTTGTGGAGGGGGGGCTTGGGGAGAGTGAGAGGGTTATGGAGGGGGGTTGGGGAGAGTGAGAGGGTTGTGGAGGGGGGTTGGGTAGATGAGAGGGTTGTGAGGGGGGTTGGGGGAGAGTGAGAGGGTTGTGGAAGGGGGTTGGGGAGAGTGAGAGGGGTGGTGGAGGGGGGCTTGGGGAAAGTGAGAGGGTTTGTGGGAGGGGGTTGGGGAGAGTGAGAGGGTTGTGTAGAGTGAGAGTAGTTGTGGAGGGGGGTTGGGGGAGAGTGAGAGGGTTGTGAAAGGGGGTATTAGGGAGAGTGAGAGGGTTGTGGAGGGGGGTTGGGTTAAGAGTGAAGAGGGTTGTGGGCAGGGGGTTGGGGAGAGTGAGAAGGGTTGTGGAAAGGGGGGTTGGGGAGAGTGAAGAGGGATGGTGGAGGGGGGGTTGGGGAGAGTGAGAAGGGTTGTGTAGAGTGAGAGGTTGTGGAGGAGGGGTGGGGAGAGTGAGAGGGTTGTGTAGAAGTGAGAGGGTTGTGGAGGGGGGTTGGGGAGAGTGAGAGGGTTGTGAAAGGGGTTGGGAAGAAGTGAGAGGGTTGTGGAGGGGGTTGGGGAGATGAGGATACTACTGTGTACGACGAGACACGCAGGTGTGTAGGCAGGAGGTAGAGGAGAGGAGGGTTAATTGCGGGGAGGAGTGTCGGATCGACGATAGTATGAGAGACGGAGGGGAGGGGTGTGGAGGTGATGTAGAGTAGTATTAGTTGGTGCGAGAGGCACACGGTGGAGGGGTTTGGAGGGGGGTTGGGAGAAGTGAGAAGGGTTTGTTTAAGGAGGGGTTGGGGAGAGTGAAGGTTGTGGAGGGGGGTTGGGAGAGTGAGAGGGTTGTGGAGGGGGTTGGGAGAATGTGAAGAGGGTTTGTGGAGGGGGGTTGGGGAGAGTGAGAGGGTTTGTGGAGGGGGGGTTGGCGGAGAGTGAGAGGGTATGCTGAGGGTTTGGGAGAGTGAGAGGGTTGTGGAGGGGGTTGGGGAAGTGAGAGGGTTGTGGAAGGGGGATTGGGGAGAATGAGAGGGTTGTGGAGGGGTGTTTGGGGAGAGTGAGAGGGTTGTGGAGGGGGGTTGGGGAGAGTGAGAGGGTATTGTAAGAAAACCTCTTGTATCTGGGCCTCGGGGTTAAGGGTTGTGAAAAGGTAAAGGGTTGTGAGGTTTAAGAAGATGGCAGGGGGAGGGTGAGAGAAGATATCACTTCGTCGGGTGTGTACCGTAGAGGGAGGTGATGGTGGGGGGAAGGGGGGGAGAGGGGAAAGGGGGTAGAGTGGGGAGGGGTGTTGGATTTGGGATTCATACAACGAATACAAGCTACAACAGACCACACACATATGTATGAGTGTATCTCTCTCTCTCTCTCTCTCTGTCTGTCCCTTCTCATCTCTCTCTTTCCTCTCTCTCTCCCCCCTCTCTCTCTCTCACTCGTCTCTCCTCTCGCTCCCTCCCTTCCCCTCTCTCTCTCTCTCCTCTCTATCCTCTCTCTCTCTCTCTCATGCTCTTCTCTCTCTCTCATCCCTCTCGTCTCTCTCTCTCTCTCTCCTCTCTTCGTCTCCGTCTCTCTTCTCTCATCCTTTCCTTCTTCTCTCTCTCCTCTCTCTCTCTCCCCCCTCTCTCTCTCCCGCCCCTCTCTTCCTCTCCTCGCTCTCTCTCTTCTCTCTTCTTCACTTTCTAGGACCCACGTCCTCTCTCACAGACTCTTGTTCGCCTCTCTCTCTCATCTCTGGGCTCGCTGTCTCTCTCTCGCTCCTCCTCGCCTCGTCGCTCCCTCCCCTCCCTCTCTCCGTCCCTCCTCATCTTCTCTCATCTCTCGTCTCTCTCCTCTCCTCATCTCTCTCTCTCTCTCGTCTCTCATCTCTCTCTCTCTCTCGTCTCTCTCTCTCTCTCTCTCTTTCTCTCCTCTGTCTCTGTCTCTCTCCTCCTTCCCCCTCTCTCTCTCTCTCTCCTCCCTTTCTCTCCATCTCTCTCTCCCTCCCTTTCTCTCTCTCTCTTTCCCTCACCTTTCTCTCTCTCCTCTTTCCCTCCCTTTCCTCTCTCTCTCTCTGGGCTCTCTCTAAGCTCTCTCTCTCTCTCTCTCTCTCTCTCTTCTCATTTTCCTCTCTCTCTCTCTCTCCAGCCATCTCGTCTCACTATACCTCTCTCTCTCTCTCCCTCCCCGCCTCTCTCTCCCTCCCCCATCACCCCCCCTCATCTCTCCTCCCCCATCCCCCCCTCCTATCTCCCTCCCCCATCCCCCACTCTCTCTCCCTCCATCCCCATCCCTCTCTCTCCCTCTCGTTCCCCATCCCCCCCGGTCTCTCTCCTCCTCCCCCCCCCATCCCCCCCTCTCTCTCCTCCCCCTCCCCTCTCTTCTCTCCTCCTGCCTCCCCCCATCTCTTCTCTCGTCCCTCCTCTCCTCTCTCTCTCTTCCCCTTCTCTCCCTTTCTAAATAATAACAATAATAACATGTTGTACTAACACCTATTTAAAAGTATCCCTGAGAAGAGGTTAGAGAGACGTCCCAACACATACATAACTCAAATCATTTCACCATAAAACCACACTAACAATAATCATACGGACTTTATACTTAAAATATTCACACCCATACACCACCATACGCACAATATTTACAAAAGACACCACAACTTACAATATTTTACCACCAATACCACTCACATTTTTCACTCACAGAACACTAATACCCACACTATTCACCACATGGCACGCATAGACCCCAAAATCCCCCAAAGGAACACCATACTCACAAATAATTCGCCCTGAAGATACTTACATACCATTCACCACACAGCCAAACCCCCTCAAGGACACCATAACTCACAATATTTCGCCCTGAAGATCTTCAATAACATCCATTCACCACAGCACCATACCCCCACCTCAAGGACCACCATACTCACAAATATTCACCCTGAAGATCTTCAACCCATTTCAGCCACTCACCACAACACCAGTACCTCCCCCCCCCAACTAGGACACCTATAATTCTCTTTCACAAGTTCGCTCCTGAAAGATTTCCAATGCCATTTCACCACACACATACCCCACTAAAAGACACCATACAATATTCGCTCCTGGAGGATTTCGATACCATTCACCACGACACCATCCCCCCCAACACCCCCAAAGGACACCAACCACCCAACACCCCTCAAAGGACACCATACCTTCACAATATTCGCCCTGCGAGATGTTGCCGATACCATTTTCACCACACACACATAAGCCAAAAGTCGCCCCCCCAAAAGGACACATACACACATAATATTCGAACTCCTGTAAGATCATTCATATTACACACTCACCGACACACCATACCACCCCGACCAAAGGAACAGCACCTATACTCACATATATATTCGCCGCTGAAGATTTCCGATACCACTCACCACAATACCATACCCCAGAAAAATTCCCCCAAAGGACACCATACTCACAATATTCAATCTTCATACCACACACCATACCCCCCCAAAGGACACCATACTCACAATATTCGCCCTGGAGATTTCCATACCACACACCACACCACCATACCCCCAACCCCCCCAAAGAAACACCATACTCACAATATTCGCCCTAAGATTTCCATACCATTCACCACACACCATACCCAAAATCCCCAAAGACACCATACTCACAATATTCGCCCTAAAGATTTCCATACCACACCACACACACACCCCAACCCCCCCAAAGGACCACCATACTCACAAATATTCCCCTGAAAAGATCTTCCACCACACACCCATACCCAATCCCCCAAAAACACCATACTCAAATATTCGCCCTGAGATTCCTATATCCATTCACTCACACATCCATATCCCCCCCAACCCCCCCAAAGGACACCATACTCACAATATTCAATCTTCTACCACACACCATACCCCCCAAAGGACACCATACTCACAATACTCGCCTGAATATTTCCATACCACCACCCCCCCCCAAAGGACACCATACTCACGCAATATTCGCCCTGAAGATCTTCATACCACTACACCACACACCATACCCAAAATTTCCCCCAAAGACACCATACTCACAATATTCGCCCTGGAGATTCTCATACCATTCACCACACACCATATCCCCCAACCCCCCCACAAGCGACACCATTTACTCACCAATATTCAATCTTCATACCACACACCATACCCCCCCTAAACCGACACCTGATACTCACAATTACTCGCCCTGCCGAGAAATTCCATACCATTCACCACACACCATACCCCCCCCCAAGGCGACACCATACTCACAATATTCAATCTTCATAGCCACACACCTATACCCAACCCCCAACCCCCAGAAGACACATACTCACAATATTCGCCGCTGAAGATTTCTTCCGCTAGCGCAGGCGAGGGGGACGATTTTCCCGTTCGGAGCGTCAATTTCGCTTCTTCAGGACAATTTCTCGAGAGTCTTGAGCCCGGGCCGTAGTTCACGGTACACCACTCGGCGCCCTACAAACGCGATAAAAAGGCCATTTCTATAAGGCGGATAAAAAGGCCACTGCTATAAGGCATAAGAGGCCATTCTAAAGGATAAAAAGGCCCATTCTATAAGGATTAAAAACGCCATTCTACACGGCATAAAAAGGCCATCTACAACGGATAAAAAGGCCATTATCTATAAACGGACTAAAAAAGGCCATTCTATAAGGGATGAATGAAGGCCATTCTAATAAGGGATAAAAAGGCCATTCTAATAAGGGATGAAAAAGGCCATTCTCATAAGGGATAAAAAGGCCATTCTATAAGGGATAAAAAGGCCCTATTCATTCTATAAGGGATAAAAAGGCCATTCTACAACGGATAAAAAGGCCATTCTACAACGGATAAAAAGAACGCCATTAACGCCATTCTACAACGGATAAAAAGGCCCTATTCCATCTACAACGGGATAAAAAGCTATAAGGGATACAACGGGATAAAAAGGCCATTCTACAACGGGATAAAAAACCATACAACGGAATAAAAGTGCCATTTGGGACCATTCTAACAAACGATAAAAAAAAAAACCATATTTGGACATTCCTTGGATGTTGTGTTTTTATTTCATTTTTTTTTCACTCACCTTTTTCTCATTTCTTGTTATCTGTCTGTTTCACTGTTTGGTGTATGTGTGATTGTAGGATTGTTGCGGGTTTGTGTACACGCAAGTACCTACATGTTGAGTGTTAAGTGCTCCTGTTTGTATGTATATATGTATGTATGTATGTGTATGTATATGTATGTATGTATGTTGTGTATGTATGTATGTATGTGTATGTATGTTTATATGTGTGTATGTATGTATAATGTGTGTTGTATGTATATGTGTGTATGTATGTATATGTATATGTATGTATATATGTGTATATGTATGTATGTATATATGTGTGTATGTATGTCTGTATATGTTGTGTATGTGTGTAATGTATGTATGTGTATATATGTATGTTATGTGTGTGTGTGTGTATGATATTATATATATATATATATATACATTATATTGTGTTGTGGTGTGTGTGTGTGTGTGTGTGTGTGTGTGTGTGTGTGTGTGTGTGTGTGTTGTGTGTGCGTGTGTGGTGTGTTGTATGCATATGTATATTGTATAATGTTATATGTGTATATGTATATGTATATGTATGTTTGCGTACCTGTTACCCAATCAAAAAAATCTTCGTATACCAACCGTGACATTCCCAGGAGCCGCATAGCCGTTGAAAGTGAAAGGGACATCGGGAATCGCTTCTTCGGGGGAATATAAAGGCTTCTGCTTGGCCGCGGACACCCAGGTCGCGGCGCCATCTTGGTCGACGAGGCGGACCTGTGGGCGGAGAAAAGGGAATCAAGTTTTTTTCTCTGTTCCTTTTAAGGCCGTGTCACACTGGCACTTTTTTCGTCAATTTTTGACATTTATTTATATAAATATTATTGGTTGTTTTCTATTGTTGTCGTCGTTGCTATTTGTTGTTGCCATTTTTTGTTTGTTGCCATTTTTGTGTTGTTGTTGTTGCTATTTATATTTGAAACAACAATAGCAACAACACAAAAATGGGCAACAACAACAAAAATAGCAACAACAATAGCAAAAGCAACAACCAAAGCAATAACAACAATAGCAACAACAAACAACAACAAAACAGCAACACAACAACCAAAATAACAACAATAAGCAACAACAACAACACAACAACTCACCAGATTGGGCACCTCCTTGCTCGGGTAGGACAGAAGCACCTCGTATGGCACCATGTGGACCTCATCCATCCCCTGCCGGTGCCACGTGTCGGAAATGAGTGCCGACATCCGGTGCTCCTCCACCGTGCCGCCCAGGTGGGGGAGGTGCGTCAGGCTCCTAGGTGGTGGGGAAGGGGGAGGGGGAAGGAGAAGGGGGGAGGGAGGAGGGAGGGGGAGAGGGAGAGAAGGAAGGGGGGAAGGAGAGGGAGAGGGAAAGGGGAAGGAAGGGGGTATGGGAGGGAGAAGGGGGAGTGGGAGAAGGAGAGGGAAGAGAGGGAGGAGGAGAGGAGGGGAGGGGAGGAGGGGGGAGAAGAAGGAGAGGGGGGGAGAGGGAGGGAGGGGGTACGGAAGGGAGGAAAGGGGGAGTGGGAAGGGGGAAGGGGAGGGAGAAGGGTATGGGAGGGGAGGAGGGGGAGGAGAGGAGGAGGGAGGGGAAGGGAGGGGAAAGAAGAGGAGGGGGGAGGGAGAAGGAGGAGTAGGGAGAGGGGAGAGGGGTATGGGAAGGGTGGGAAGGGGAGAGGGGGGAGAGGGAGAGGGAAGGGGG